GCTGTGTTCTGGTATAAAAGCCTCTCTCTAAGACACGCCCCTGCAGCAGTCAGAGGGTGGAACAGTTAGCAAGCTTAGTATGATCGTCTGTTGAACTTTAGCCTCGGGTGGGTAGAGGAGCTGACTGCAGTGCTGCCCCCCCACACACACACACAAAGCAGTAGTCCTGCACAGCGGGAGGGGAGGAGGGGGAAAAAAGGCAGCGGGGCAGCTTCAGCCCGAACCCACACATGTCAACTTGTACAGATTATCTGTAAATTATAAGGATTTTACATCATTTTGCAGGTGTACGGACGTAAAGAACAATCTCACGGATTTTTTCAAGTCTTATGGATATTTTAAAAACCTCATTTTCAAATTTATCTAACATGTCAGAGCCTGTAGGATGATTTTAACTTTGCCTATAATTTACATTTCATTCTAGTCATTTTATCTAACATTTCTTTTTATATGCAACATTTCCCCAGACTCCATGTTTTGTTCTTGTTTACAACAAAGCTTTTGTATAAAAAAAAACAGACACCTAACAGTGCTTTTTAACTTTATTATAAAAAATAATGTGCAGTTTGTTGAATACTGAGGACATGTGAGCTGAGCAGGATGTATTTGTAAATTTGAGCCTCTCTAGAATGTACTGTAACTTGGGTGTGTACGATAATTTTCAACAAAATACGATAATTTTGAGCTGCTGATACGATAATTAAACATTTCCCATCTGGCARCACTGGCGGGAGGGGAGGAGGGGAAAGAAAGGCAGCGGGGTATTTTCAGCCTGAACCCACACATGTCAACTTGTACAGATTGTCTGTAAGTTATAAGGATTTTACATCATTTTGCAGGTATACGGACGTATAGAGCAATCTCACAGATTTTTTCAAATCTTATGGATATTTTAAAAACCACATTTTCAAATTTATCCAACATGTCAGAGCCTGTAGGATGATTAAAAAAACGAGAAATAACATCAAACAGCCATCTTCCAACCTGTTCTGCCACTAGAAATAAGTTACTTCCTCCTCTTGCGCTTTCATGTCCGCAGCCACCACCCCCCACCCCACCCCCCGCAGGTGTGAGTTGTATGGATTTTTTGCAAAATTTATGGATTTTTAGGGCTCTTTATACAGGTAAACGTCCAAAGAGGTTGAAATGTATGTGAACCGGACCGAACTTCAGTCAAACAAGATCCAACACTTTTATTCCTGATTTTAACTAGCGATATTGTGAGCAGCTGCAGCTGTATGCTTTTATTTTTTTTCTATCAGGCTGTCTGAGCRCTCCTCCTCCTCTGTCCGAGGCTGGTGTGGGGTGAAAATCCTCCACCTCAGACRTTCAGAGATGTAACTATCTGCGATACTGTGGTCACTCTCCATGTAGCATCAATTATGCTAATGCTAGCTGTCTGTCACGTTCTCTCGTCCTGGCCACACCTCCGCTCTCTAATCCCCCTTCCCCCCCCCCCCTTACCCACTTTGATGCAATTTTCAAATTTCGCCTTGGGGTGGAGTTATCTTTTCACGGGGGCGGGGTAAGATACATTTTAAGTCTCTGACTGAAGGAGCTGGTAAAGTGCAGCTTCTAATCCTGTTGTGTTATCATCCATGTGAAGTATGTACAGTTGGGATGGTTCTGCAAATCCCAGGATGGGAGCTGTGGTGAGCTTCTCAACCAAAGTGGTGAAAGCAAGTTGGCAGCTAGGAACCCAACGTTCCCCAAAGGGCTGGATCGGGCTACGATATTGCTTGTTGGACTGCTTGATTTTAGACTTCTGTGCCGGCAAGTAACTGTAGATCATACAAAGGTTTTGAAATGGTAGAAAAGTTTTTAATGAAATGGCAGTAACAAACTGGAAATCCAAGAAAAGACCGCWGTTCTTTGAAGTTTGTAGGAACTGACAAGGATTTTATAGAATTCCAATAGATAAGGTTAGAGGAGTTGACCTGCAACCCTTGTTCCAGCCTCCTCAAGCCGGGTACACCATAGGCGTTTTGAGCAGCCAAAGCAGCCAGTTTACATGCAAAGTCTATGGKGAAYGTGCATCTACGAGCAGTGCAGCACATAGCGGCACGATTTGCCAGTTGAGAGCAGCACACAACATGTGGCAKACCATTTTCTGTGCATGCGGCACGTCCAAAGCAGCAGCTGCTGGAGTTCAATAAAGTGAACTTTGGCTGTTCGACGCGCAGCAGCAACCAACCRAGAGAGAATAAATTTTTCCACGTGACGGTTTCCTGAACCCGACACACRTTAAACTGAAATCGACTGTCTGAAGTTTTTGTTCTGGCTGGAAATAGATGTGGGTCAGCAGCTCGTCCTCGGGACAAGAAAAAAAGTTTGTTAGCACGCAGCTCCTGGAGTGGCGAAACTAACTGAACAAATTGCCTCTAAATCACTTGGTGAATTAATTATCTGCTGTGCGCAACGTTCGCTTGCTATTTCGTAAATAAAGCAAAGCCATTTTATTTATTTTATTTTTATTTCAACTGTCAACAGAATGGAAAACGAACAATGACGCTCCTCCCATTGCGAGTCTTCAGACGCGTTCGGTTTGAACCGACATCTGTTGACAAGCAGCCAAAATGTGTCAGGAGTGTTTTTGCTGCTCAAGACGGGTTTGGTGGGAACCCAGCTTCACTCGTTGTATCCTTGGGAAAGACACTTCACCTGCCTTGCCTACTGATGGTGGTCAGAGGGTCCTGTGGCACTGGTACATGTGCCCCAGGCCAGCTGTGGCTACATTGTAACTCACCACCATCAGTGTGTGAATGGGTGAATGACGGTGTGTAAAGTGTAAAGCGCGTAAAGTGTAAAGCGCTTTGGGGTCCCCATGGGGCTTGAGAAAGCACTATATAAATTCAGTCCATTTATCATTTAGTATTCATCTTTTCTGGATCTATTTCTAYCCCTTTCTTGGACACAATATGACCCAAATAACAAACAGATGTTTGGAAAAATTGCACTTTTTGGGTGACAACTTTAATCCATATTCTCTCAGTCTGTTCAGGACTCATAACAGCATCCTCTCATGTTCTACTAAGGAATTTGATAATATTATCAAACCATCCAGGGACACCAAGACCAAGCATCACCCATGCATCACTTCATCAACCGTTGGAACATGCTGGACAATGAATCTGTTCTGGTGTGTTCTGAGTTCTTGTACATTGGTGCTTTGCATACGTGTGTGTGTGTGTGAGAGGAGGGGACAGTCAGAGCGCTGCGGGAGGAAATCAGACAGTTCAGAGTTTTCCTCATGAGTTTCTGGGACAGCTACAGGGGGGGGGGGGGTCATATGTGGTATCTAGTTTCTTTATGATTCGCTCCTTCCAGTCTGATGGTGTGGGAGAGTTATTAAAATCAAAGCTGACAGTAAGTACACATTAATTTTGAGGACTTTTCACCTGTTGCTGTGACAGAATACATTGGTATGTTCCTAATTCTGCAATGACACTCCACGGTGGAATATACTAAATGTCCTGCTCAGATTCATTAGTAATCACCACTGGAACTTTGTTAGGAGCATGAGTAGGATGAGTGAGAAGAGAATACAGTTACTGACACATAAACCCCCAGGCAAGATGGAAACAGGATGTTGGATGAGAACAAACTGGCTGAGAACAGGAGAAGTAACTTTAGAGAGCCCTCGATTACAAGTGTGCGGCCAGCCGAAACAGTCATTGGGGTTTTGCTAAGAAGTCTCACTACTCCAAYATTGCCAGTGTCAATCTACTGATATGACAACTGAAGAGTCTTCAGCACAGCTCTGTAATCATACAACCTGGGTTGGGATATTAGCATATTGCTCTGCAGGTATTGCTCATACAGAAGTTCAAGTGTATTTATCCCAATAAGAACAATGGAAGAAGTTTCAGAATGTACACCTGGAAAAACTAAAGCCAAGATTGAGGCATCAAATTCAATGCCAATAAAATATTTTGAAAATTTCATCATCTCCGCATATCCTAAAAAAGGGACTGACTGTCTTTTGTAATGTAATGTAATGTAATGTAATGT